GCTGTGAATTCTATAGGGGCCAGACCCTAAAGCCCCAGCGCTCAGCAATTAGGCTTAATTGGCTAGCCAGCCTTCTTTGGGGGATTGTGGAGGTGCCTAATTAGCAGCAAGCAGTTGATTTTCCACCGGAGTGCAATTTCAGTTCCTGCCATAGTTAGACGTCGAGTTGGATGAAGGTTTAGAGGTGAATCCCACCCCCCCCCAATGGTGTGAATTTTGATGTGGAATGATCCAGTAGAAGGGGACTTCTCTCCACGATGGAAGCATTTGCTCTTGTTCTAAAATACACATCTGGTTCCCACTGGAAATCTCATATGGATATTAGCCAGAGAGATTCACACAAGAGTTTAATCTACGAAAAGTGTTATTATTAGTTGCTTCCCCAGCCATGACCCCACTCTCCTAAAGTATAAGACCAAGGAAATAGGCAAGAGAGAAGCTAGTTGAAATTTTTAAGGAACTGGTTACAGAACTTTATTCAAACTTTGACATACATTTTAAAACTAATGGCATATAGAAAATAAAAGGATTACAAAATCAAGGTGCTTTTAACCACGCGAACTATATTTTAACCACTTTTAGGGTTTGTGCTCAGCTTATTCATAGTTTATAAAAAGTAAACAGACACTTCTGGTTTCCTTTTGTTGTATTTTCTGGTTCTGGATTAAACATTACCAGAGCGTTTAAAATGTGTTTACTGTGTCTGAAGCAATGTCCTGCTGCTTTGTGAAAGGAAAGTCTTTTGCCCTGGATGAGTTTGTAACTTGTATGTAGAAAGGAGGTCGAAGAAATAGATAGAATCTTTTGGTGAACATTCCTATATTTATAAGACTATACATAACCATTTTATTTAGCATCTGGAAGCAGATGTTTTGTTCATTTCCAAGGCCTCTCAACACTATAGAGTCTTATCTTTCTAAAAGAAAATTTTGATCTTGTTACTCTGTTACTTAAACTTCAATAGCTTGCTTCTTACCCTGGCACCCAGAGTCTTAGGTACTTTTGGGAAGGCTTCATCTGAGTTCTCTCTCTCTCTGCTCAGAACCTTGATCTATCCTTCCTTGAACTCTGTCCTTTTCTTTTAGTAGAAAATAATCTCTTTCTCTCTGTTGCTAAAGTGTACTTTCCAAGAGGTAGGTATCCTATCCACCCTACTCATTTTTGTATATCTAGAAAGTAGCTCATTGCATGCCTCATAACAAGCGGTCAGTAAGGATTTCTGGAATGTGTGAATATCAGTACTTCTATCTGGTGGCACGTCAGCAGGTAAACAAAGCCCAAAGAAGTTCCATTTCTCTTTTGCACGGATGCCTACAATTTTGGCTTATTGTGTGCTGCTTGGGGAGATGAGTGGTAGAATTTGTAGTAGGGATGCCAGGTCTCCACTTCCAGATTCAGCTACAGTGAGGAGGGAGCCAATGAATGCTAGTATTGATAGGATAAGACTAAACCACTCGTGTACGTGTGGAGCTGGCCGGGCCCTGGCATTACTTAAATTCATAGTGATCGCTTCTTTGTATTTGCCCCCATCCTTTTCATACCCCATCTCCCTGTCTGGTAGGTGTTTACGATCAGTTTAAGCCTAATGTTTTCTCTCAGATTTCTTTTGATGCCCTTCCTGTTCCAAACATACACACACACCATTTTTCTCTCTCTCAAACTCCCCTCTACCCTCCCCCATCTGACACACATACTCATACTCTCAGGGCCTTATTGTGTTCTTGGGATAATTTCCATAAATGTGATCACTGAAAGTAACATATTATTTTACCCACTGAGAGAAGTCCCTACTTCTTATTCATTTTTCTGTCAACCAAAGTGATGAAACAACCCAACAGTTAGTTATTTGCTTGATTAATTAATGGTTGAAGGGATAATATAGATGGCTGGACAGACGGATGAGTGGATAGATGGACAGATGGATGGATGGATGGATACGTTTATGAAATGAAGCAGTAACTGCCTTTTTCCATTTTCTTGTCAACTTGGATTATTCTTATGCTCCAACAATAGATTAGGTAGGTGACAGTTAAAACTCTGCAGGGAGGAGATAATAGCAAAATAATAGGCAAAATTAAATACATTAAAAAACAAGTATTGCAAGCACTCTGGTGCTCATTCTTAGATATTTATTGCTGGGAAAATAGAATAGTTTGGTCAGGCTCCCTCACCTTGGGGGAAGTTGGGGGTGGTGCAGTGCATTCTTTGTGAATAGGTTGTGTGTGGGTGGAGTTAATGCTCATTGCCTGGCACCGCCACCCTGGCTGGCGTCTGCCTGGGGCGTACTCACCGTGCACGGCCATGCTCTCAAACCTACGGCTTCCAAGAACCTTTTAGCCAGTTACTTAGCTCATAGACCTGTGTGTGAGGGGTCTAGTGACCCAGCCTGATGTGTGAAGGGTTTTTGACCTAGTCTGGACAATGGGCTTGAGAGGTCTGTGAGCTCCAGACCTAGCCCTAGCTTGACAATTGGCCCAGTGGGCCGGATTATGGGCAGGTAAAAGAGCTTGACAACTGGCGTAGTCAGTGCAGGATTATCGACATTTATATTATGTAACAATATAGCAAGTTCCTTAAAACATTTCCCTATTTTGTGAAAATTGTTGTCAGGGTTGGAATACAGATAGCACAAATTCTATAAATAAGAACAAAAAAGAAAACTGATTTCAATGCATTGTTTTAGTTATGGTTTTTCTTAAAAATGTATTACTATAGTGTATTTAGTGCATGCATAAATAATGTCTGTGTATTTGATGAATTAGTGGACTGATAAGGTGCTGTTCTAGGGAAAATGTGTTTGTGTTTAATTATTTTCAAAATTTGTATAATACCAGAATTTGGTAATTATCCCCAATACACACAAACTGATTTAAACAGAAATGCAATGATTGCTGTGATGTCCTTGAAAGAAGGGCTCTCAGGAATATAGCAACACAGTAAATGAAGTTGACTTTCAAGTGGGCAACCTTGCTCAACTGCAACATTGCATAACTACAATATGGAGCCACAAGTGGTGTGACACACTGAAACTATATGTGGTAAGTTTAGGATTTAAAATGATGACTTCTTTTAGAAGATAGCAAACAGCGGATCTGGGAGAAGTAAAGTTTCAGTTGAGTCATCTCACTTGTGACACTTATTTTAAATGCAATCTGTTTAACCCAACGTATTACCATCTTTAGAAAATATATGCCTCTTTTCCAGGGCATTTCTCTTATCCATTTGTAGGCAGCTTGTTAAATACTTCCAAAGTCAAAAATCCCATCTCATACAAAATAGTATACTTTAACATATTTCTATGGAGAGCATCTTCTCTAACAAAAAGATGACTGTTACCTTTTCTCTATTGACTATTATCTCCTGCTCTCAGAAAATGACTTCTTGCAAAGTCAAATGCAGCTCTGTATTCACGATCCACAGAACAAAATGTCTGAGCATTCTTCCCACGTTCCTGAAATAAAACTAGTTACTTTCTACTCTTTGGGTGATTGTTAGGGGACAATTTTTTTATGGGCCTCTCACATTTCTGCTTAACTCCCAACCAGGGGCACTGACTGCTTTGTTTCGGTGTAGTTTTTCAAGGATGTTTGGTAAATAGCCTTGGAAGATAAAGCAAACGATAGGCATGTTTACTGCCCGTTATAAAAGATTCAGGTTCCCTAAACTTAACTTTTCTCTTTTGAAACACAAACCACTGAATATTCAGGTATCACCTGGCCCTCTGTACATCACCACGTGGAAACTGGGGCTCCAGGATCTGATGCTGTGGCTACTATTACTAGTAATACATATTACTATTGCTGTGAGTTATGATGTCTTTTGTCTCAGATTCAGGAATCTGAGTCTTCGGCCAGTGTCCATGAAACTGTAGTAGGCTATCTTGTTAGCTTGAAAATAGGGTAATATCTCATCTCTTTCACAATGTGTGAGAGTGGTAAAGTAAGATATATTATTTTAAGCACTGTGATGTGAAATTAATTAATGCTTTGGTTTTAACACATACTTGTAACATATGTTAACTAACGCTTTACTGATGGCTGACTTGTTATATGGTTAAGTTTAGAATACAACTAAGAAGAAATGATTCATTATGATACAGTATGTGCATTTATTCAGTGTTATAGCAAGGGTAAAATTACATTTGCATAATGTATTTCATAGCTCTTAAAAGCCAATACACTGTATCTTTTTGTCAAAAAGTTGCTACTTTTCTAAGTTTAACATTTTAATCTTGAGAGAAAAGTTATCTTAAACTAAAAGTTTTGCATTTAAAAGTTTTCAGGTACTTTCTATCATAAAGTTCCTTAATTATTTTCTGATATTTTATGTCACCATGAAATTGTGTATTTCCCAAGGCATGTGTCTGAAATACTATGCTTAATAAAAATCTTTGTTCAATTCAAATATGATAATATGCTAAAAGTTGGATAACTTGTATATGTTTAATTAGTACTAATTTATTTTAAATTTATAAAAAACTACAATTTATTTGTTTATAAATTTTGGATTATTGTCTTAAACAATTAAGAAGCCTAATTTGAACAATTTAAAATAAATAAAATATAGTTTCATAGTGTAGGTATTTCATAAAATAAAAATTTTTGCTAAGCACTTATAATAGTGTTCCTAATTACACAAATTTGGTAGATTTTAATGTGCATGTACAATAGTCAGTGTCTAATAATTATAATGTTGATAGTGAGAAATATGTTTGAGATTAATGAGTTATGTGTACTTCATAGTTTTTCTTTCCTTTTTTTAATGCCCTACCTTTCATTGATTAGCTTGGGTGGTTTATCAGGGACTGGCAACATTTATTGTGTGGAAATGAAAACTTACTCTCAAGAATCAATATGCTTTATTGTGCACTGTGCTTTTTTTCTCTCTTGGTTCACCTTTGGTTCATGTTTCTACCACTGTTTCCATACTTCCTTTACTTTCTTCATTTTCTTTCATTCTTCATTCCCTGTTTCTTCCCTCTTTTCTTCCAGCTTTTTACTCTTCAATTGGCATTGACTTCTTTGCAGGAATAGCCTTTGATTGCAACTACCCAATATAGCAATATGGAAAAAAAAATATCAATTGAATTTCTTATTAAACATCTTGTGTATCATAATATAAAATAAATAAGTGAGTAAAATAAATTCTTTTAAAAATAAGAAAATAAGAAAATAAAATAAATAAAATAAGAATAAGAATAAGAAAATTTAAGAATAAATTTTCTTAAAAGTAAGAAAAAGTTTATCAAAACAGTGTTTGTTCGTGCATGTGTGTGTGCCTGTCTATGGACACATACATGATCAAATTTCGCCATACTTTTTGCTCCAAAAAAAAAGAAAAAAAAGACAAATGAGAATGCAAGCCATTTCAAGACAAACTCAAGTCTCAGCTATGCATTTTGCTTTCAGCTAGTTAACTTTTTTTTGTCTCTGCTTCTTTATTTGTATGGTTAACAAATTATCCAAAACTTGGAAATAAGTCAAGGAAATACTGCAAATTCTTTCAGTGTCACGATAGAACATTATGCCACATATCATTCAAGGATTATTTTCATGTCTGGGGCAGGGGGTTTGGCAAATTTTGACCCAAAGGTGATATCCAGCCCCAGGCCTTTGTTTGTTCAGTCCTTGAGCTAAGAATGGATTTTATATTTTTAAAGAGTTGTGAAAAAGAAAAAGAAACTTAGTGTAGCCCATAAATACTAAAATATTTACAACCTGCGTCTACAGAAAACATTTGCCAACCCCTGCTGTAGGGGAATAAACCATTATTTGATTTACTATGTACCCCTGATCAAGATTCAGACTCAATAGAGGTTGATGATAACTTGTACTCATAGACTGATAAATTGCAAATGAGTTTTTGTCCATTGGAGAGGCAATAGATTTCTGTGTGGTCAAAAAGATAACCTTAAACGTTATAGTTGCATTACTCCCTAAGATATTAACCAGTTTCATATATTGCTTTGTAATCACATTTTAGCATCTTTTAAATTGGCTGTAAATACTTTAGTCTATCATTCTCTTTTGAAACAGCTTTACTATCCTTCTGGTTCCCTCATTAATAATTAAATTAATTTTGTTGATGTATTTATTTCATATTTGCATCTGACTCATATTTTAAAGTCTTAGAAATTTAAGCTTTGGGCCGGCCCGGTGGCGCACTGCTACAGTGCGCCGCTTGGGAGTGTGGTGGCGCTCCCGCCGAGGGTTCGGATCCCACATACGGACCGGTTCCCGCTCACTGGCTGAGCGAGGTGTGGGAGCAACACCGAGGGTTGCGATCCCGTTGCCAGTCCCGGTCCGGTATGGGCGCGACACTGAGGGTTGCGATACGTTGCCGGACATGAAAAAAAGACAAAAAGGAAAAAAAAAAAAAAGAAATTTAAGCTTTGACATGACATGGGTATCTTCCCTCTTTCTTATTTAGCTGTCAGCTCTTTTAGGGTTTTAATACAACATAGTGTTGGACAAATAAGTGTGAATTTATTTGCTCATCTTAAAAGTGTAGATATTCTTTTAACAGAACTCCAACTAAGGGGCTCTCTGGGTTATTCCATTATCTCCACTTTTTAAAAATACTTTAATTTTTTAATGCAGTTTTAGGTTCACAGCAAAATTGTCAAGAAGATACAAAGATTTCCATATACTCTCTGCCCCCACACATGCATAGTCTCCTCCATTATCAACATCTCCCCTCCCCCAGTCGGTACATTTGTTACAATTGATGAGCCTACATTGACACGTCATTATCACCCAAAGTTCATAGCTTACATTAGTTTATAGTTCATAGTATACTCTCAGTGTTCTCTATTTCTAAAAATAATGATTCTGTGCAATAGTGAATCTTTGTAGCTAGTGCTCATCTGATCACACCAGTAGGGTTGAAGGTTTCTCAAGAGACAGTCATGTTTTTCTTTTCTTCAAGCTTCTTTGTGCAAGTTTTAATTATTATTGTTATAGCATAATTTCATTAAATAATATAAAAACAGATAAAATCAGTACAAGAAGAGATTTAATTCAATGAAGACCAAATTGAATGCTCTGAAAAGACTCAACAAAGGTAAGTTCTTAGATAATTGCCATGCAATTAAGTTTGGTTGAAGCAGCAGCAAAATATGGTATTTTGGGCTGTGATCAGGCCTTTGCTTGTGAACTGATTTGGAAAACACCTGTGCTTCATGTAGAGAAAAATTTTGTCTATTAAACGAATAGTTTGTAAAAACATAAAGTCAGTCAGGCTATTTTTCCTCCATTTTTTATTGTTTAAAAATTTTAAAATAGAAATATCAGTGCAGATAAATCTGTACAAATAAAAACAGGGAAGATCTGCTTAATCTTTATAATTCCCCATATTGACGTGAGATTATTCATATTTATCACAGGACATTTGCATATAGAAAGAAACTATTTTAGGAACATCTCGGAATAAATGCACTTAAAAAAATTGTTTAAGTTTTATAAACATGTTCGAGTGCTGAATGAGTGAATAGATACTTTACTCCACAGTTGAGTAACGTTGCTAATTGGGGTTGACCCCAGCTAAATGCCCATTCCCAGGGCGACTCTTCTCTCCTGTGACCCATCATCCCAAGCATCCAGACTGCACTTTTTGAAGCACTCTGAAGGCATGGGGGAGCAGGTGTACCTTTGGCTCTAAATAGCTAAACTCTTCTCCTTAGCCGAGTTAAGAATATAGGCAACTACACCTTTCATGTGCTTTTGAAAACTTTGCTCATGCTTTCTCCTCTCTTCTCCGGTAAATGGTCACTGCAATTTTCACCCACTTATTCACAATTTCTCTTTTCTAAGTCTCAGCTGACCCCATGTCTTTATAATTATATATTGATATACAGTAATATGAATTATCAACGTTTATATGCATGTACATTATCCTGCAATTATCATTTATGATGCCGTTATTTTAGATGTATATTTCCTGTGAAGATTAAATTACCTTTTTTCTGTGAAAATACTTTGAACTATTGCATTGCTGTACAAATGCTTCTATTTTTTCAGTTTATATTTTGAAGACTCTTTAAAATCTTCTGTGCTTTCCACATTGCTTATTTCAAAAGTGTTAATTCAATGAGCCAGACAATGATTATTAAGCAGTTATGAATATAAAGTTATAGTCTTTCAACATTGCTTAAGAATTATTCATTCATGTTTCAGGGCAAATAATTGCATTTTAATTCATCATGGAATAAGAACATAAATACATTTTGCTTACATTTTGCCTCCTTTTTCAAAGTTATCAATCTAGAAAACAGATCTCATTTAACAATGCTTTCATTTTATGTCTTCCTGAGGCTTTACTGTTATTTGAAATGAAGGTATTATGAAACACAATTTACATAGACTTAAAAATAGCCAATTGAGATAAGTCATTAACACTTTCAAAAAACACAAACTTAAACAGGAACAGAGTTCATTAAATGGGTCTATGCCAGGGATATATATAAGGTTACATATTTATATGTAACTTTAGATTTTCCAACAAAATTCTAAATTTACTTAAAGCCACTGTGTAATGATACCGTTTACTCTCTACTGGCTTCTACTACTTAATGTAAAACTGCATTTGGGGAAATGGCTTTTATCTAGCTTAAAACACAGTTATGGCTCATGGGTTGAAATTTCCAATCAATCGTTAACCTTCTAGTGTTAGGATTTATTTGCTCTTTTTAAAGACTTCTAGCAAAAAGAAAATCTGCAAATGAATCTATAGGACAAGAAACAATATTTGAAAAGTAAATTTTAGTAGGTCAATTATAAATTCAACAATTTAAATCTCCCTTAAATAAGTGCTCTTGGTTTTTAACAGTGGGTTATCATACATTACCATGAAAGATCATAATCAGATATTAAACAAACACTGCTTTGAATAACTAATTTTAAAATGACTTTTCCTACCCAATAATAGGCATTTTCTCTGTCTTTTTCATTTAAGAAGTAAGAAAAATAGTATTATGAGCTCAAATTCATAATTATGTTTTTGGGATACACATGACATATTTGGTAAGCAGAATAAAAACAATAATTCAAAGGCACAATGCATAAAAATATTCATTTTTTAAAGGCCTAAGCTGATGCTATAAAAATAAGATGTTTTGATTAAAATCTATAAGAAATGAATGCAAAAATATTTAATATATCTCAATCATAAAACATTTAACTTTTTTCTTATCAGTTTTTAAAAAGATCCAGTTATATATTATATTTTATCTCTAAGCCATCATCATTCATGACATTAATGATCCAAATATTATAACTTATTTTTCTAAATGCACAAAAGAAATAGAGCATTAGAGCAAAAAATCTCATACCATATTCGTAAAGAATTAACTGCTTCGAAATTCTTATTTGTGAGAATAGAAATAAATGAAATGATGTTTTATGTAAGACAAGGAAGAATAGTTAAACAATCGTCACCTAAGAAAAATTGGCAACTGAATGAGACAATTTACATTTCTCAGAAATATATATATATACATATATATGTTTTTTCCCCCAGACATCCGGTTCTGTTTTTGCATCTTAAGCAAAAAAAAAAAAAATAAAAAATAAAAAATAAAAATAAGGAGAAAAAATGATGTGGTTTCCTAAAAAATAAAAAGGCTTTTAAAAAAATGTTTTTTTTCCCACTGTGTGACTCTTTTTTCATATAATAATTGATTATGACTGTGACAACATCCCACCTATTTTACATAGTTATGAAAAGAGTTCACTTTAAATTAATTGGCATCACCATGAAATAAATTACATGATTGTGTGGTTGGGAATCAAATCAGGCCCACATTAGATATAATTGGGGTGAAACTGTTATATTGGAATTGTGTGGGTGAAGGCTAGAGACAGAATTTTTGCATAGGAAATAAATGTGTGAAGAGTAGTCATACTGAGACCAAATTGTCTGTCTTAGTTTTTAAAGAAAACTTTCTTCTTTAAAATAAATCTCTTTAGTTTTCCAATAAAGGTTCATATTGATTGCTTATGTTAGAATACTGCCTATGTGTTTGAGAGTATTGGCTGATTAGCTTCCATACAGACAAAAGGAAGAAAAGTTCAATCTAAATTTCATGTCCAGGACTTGAACTTTTTTTGAAATTCCAGGAAGGAAATCTCTACTATTCCTTAAAGTTATGGCCCTGAATGCTACCATGGTTTCAAAGACCAAGCTGATACTAAGCTTCATTAGAAAGGATGTTGGAAAGGAAACAGAATATACCTTTCTCTGCTACTATATATCAACATGTACTCTCATCAAGAATACCATGGATACACATAATTGCTGCACCACACAGGATTAGAAAAACTGTCATCAAAAGTAACTAAAACAATGACAGTAGGTGGAATGAATTATAAATACAGACTAAAAGAACCATCAAAACAAAAACAAGTTCACCAAGATAAAGTTTGAGACTAGATCATGTTTGTAATGCCCTAAAGGTATTAGATTTTTACAATATAATATTAGGAAAAAAACCCTGTTGATTATATCTTGAAGCTGAAATAGATCCTTTCTAGGCTAATTTGAAAAACTGTGTTTGTATAAACATAAAAAAATCATTATTGATGGAATTATTAATATTTGGAATATAAATAAATTCAAAAGCATTTTAGATAAATTCATGGATTGTAGCTCCACAATAGATTGTTAAAGAAACTAAGAATCTTTTAGAAATATATCATTTAACTTCTTTAGGTCTGACCTGGTGGAGGGTAAACATAAGTTACATTAACATATATTCTATGGGAACTGCCCGAAATTAGAAAACACTATGTTTAAGAAAACGCTTCTTCTTGAGGGTCATTTTACTCAAACATCTTGTAATTTTGCTAATGTTTTACTGCTTAGTTTAGTTTTTAATGTAAGCACTTCATTTCTTAAAGCTGATGAAAACATTTAAAAGAAATGACATCATGCAATCATTGAATACTTAAATACATTATCAGCAATGCTAATGTTGTTATTCATTTTCTGCAAGTTAATTTTTTTATTTAAAAATTTCATCCGTAAAATCACTCATCAATGGTAACTGATGAAATACAATAACATACAGAGTGAAAGATATAAATAGAACCACGTGTGAAAGATGTACCTCTGATATTTTACTGAAAATCCTCATTACCAAGTATGCCAGGAACCTGTAATTGTTTTCTTTTCTGCCTTATTAAATCAGAAAACCTAGAATTATCGCTTGAGATAGGGAGTGAATTGAGGAGGTAGGAGGAAGGTACTGCTATTGAGGTCTTTGATTGGGATTCCAGTAGAGGTCAGTTAACATCTGTTTTTCAGCAGATCATTTTAACACCTGCTGTATTTTTAGGCACCTACTGCTTCTAGGTGGTGGTTTGACTTGTGGCTTCCTTCACATCATTAGAGAAAACTTGAGAGCCAATGAACATGACTTCTTGCTGTATGATAACAAGATAAAAGTTGTAAACTGACTGTAAAGAGACAATTCAAATATCCAGTGAAAGGAATCATGCCTGAGTATGTGAAGATTAGTAGGAATTCAGATTCCCAAATCTCAGCACAGTTCTAAACTGGGCAGGGGACTACACTGTTTCTGTCAGTATAAGGGGCTAGTATGGCACCATGGGAAAAGCACTGCTCTTACCAGCTCTGCCACTTACAGCAGCATGATCTTAGAAAATAGATGAGATTTGCTTTTTTCATGTCTAAGAGGAGGGATGTGATTTTCATTTCTAAGGTCTTTTTTCTATCCTCAAAAGTCTATTTTATTTCTGGGACTAATTAAAAAATTTCCCAGTTAAATAGAGACTATGTTAAGGTTAGAACCTCCAGAATAAATGTTGAAAAGTATATAGCTATTTTTCACTAAGTGCACCTTAAGGCACACTGAATACTTCATAACCAGGTTGTATTTTACCTTCCTTAAAAGAATTTGCAAACGTACAGGGAATATTCCATTTGCATGTGCTTATTCGTGTTTATTTTTCGTGATGAAGGGAAGGCAAAATTTTGTGTATCAAATGAGCAGTTTGTGGAAACATAAAATAAGTCATACTATTTTTTTCCATTTTTAATGTTTAAACAATCTCAAAATAGAAAAGCTAAAACAGATAAATTTGTGCAAATAAAATGGAAACGTGGAAGATCTGTTGAATCTTTAGAGCTTCTTATATTGACATGAGATTATTCATACTTATCACAGGATATTTACATATAGAAAGAAACAATTTTAGAAACATCTCAAAATAAATGCCTTTGAGTTTTATAAACAAGTTCTAGTATTGAGTGAGTGAATAGATACTTCACTCCACAATTGAGTAGATATTGTTGCAATATTTTTTTATTTAACAGGACTATCATTGCTATGCAGTTCATTGTATAAGAACTTATCCATGATCCTTATTCCTTCTCTTTCATTTGTATTCCTATTAATATAAGAAAATCCATATTCCCCACCCTCAAGGCCATTTCTGTGCATTAGCCTATGTGATGCCATTGAATTGAATCAAATGCTATATTTTGAAATATTTTGGTCCATAGTGCTATCAGACATACATATAAATATGCACACATTCTTGAAATTTTTCTTTTTAATTAATTCGAGAGCATAGCAGTTTAGATAACCACCATATTATTAGAAATAGTTGAAAGAAACAGTTGAATACTCTAAATGGAGTGCTGTGTTTTGGTTCAGAGTTTCTCTTTTTACAGAAGTGAAGTTTTAAATAATGCAAATGGTATTTAAAATCATGTATATAATGCTAAACAGTCTCCCATTCTGAAACATGAAAATATATAGTTCCTTCAATTTATAATGTCATAAGAATATCAACTTATGGTTTAAGAGTGTGGTATATCTCTGCTCCCTGTTCTCTCCCAGTAGATTTTTAAGTACCTGATAAATGAATAAATTCTAAACAATTGACTTAGAAATTCAAGCATGATACATTAAAAAAGTATTTTGCTGAAGTAAAAAAATGTTTTCTAAACCCTAAAAAAAAGTGTATTGCATTCATATATTTAAACCATTTTAGCCTTGAAGCATAGCGATTAGTTTATCATTTACCTTGTTCACAAGAAAGGGAGCCATTTCTTATGATTTTCAACCTGGTGGTTATTTATCAGTTTCTTATAAATCTCTGACTTTAGAAATCGAGGAAAAGAATCCTTGGCCATGAGACAGTAGATTAATTTCTGAGCCTCATCAAAGCATTTGAGAGTTGGTTCTGCAATATTCTTTGAGATTAGGTCCCTGGTACTGAAGTCAATGTTAATCTGTGGAAAATAAGGTTGCATATCATGAGATTAGTTTGATCAGAGGATACATGGTTTATACAGATGGTTGATACACATATTACTTGAATTTTTTTCAAACATAAAGCTAAGCTGATGAAGAACAGCAGAAAGGTCATGCATTCGTTTTCTGGAAAGCAGAGAACATGCCTGGTTTAATTATTTTTCCTAATTTGGGAGGGAAAAGAGGTAAAGCCATATTTTGAGGTTTAAAAAGAAAAAAGGCTGGGGCCGGCTCGTGGCTCACTCGGGAGAGGGCGGTGCTGATAACACCAAGGCCACAGGTTCGGATCCCATATAGGGATGGCCGGTTTGCTCACTGGGAGAGCGTGGTGCTGACAACACGTCAAGGGTTAAGATCCCCTTACCGGTCATCTTTTTAAAAAAAAAAAAAAAGAAAAAAGGCAAAGTAAAAAAGTAAACTTCATAATTTATGATTTTAAATTTTTCTTCCTGCCCACCTTTTTTCCCCTAGTACTTTGACCTGGATTCCTGAAATGTGCTTTCCAGAGGTAGAACTACAACTAGAATTTACTAGATTGGCTTCCACCAGCCCAGTCCCATTCCTCATACCTCTCCTGCTTTTTCTCACAATACTGTTTTTTTTTTTCTAATTTGTATTTCTTTCTGTTTAACAAAATGGACCAAATAATGCCCCTTCTTCGCTGATCTCCCTACCCTCCCACAGACACCTCCTTGTCTCCTATCACTGTCACTGACAGGTGTCACCAGGAGTGTCTGATAGAGATCTATCATACTGGAACGCACCATTCACCTGCAAATATGTAAAATGCCCCAAGTCTTCTTGTAGAAATACCTGCTCAATTGGCACGTATCCCAGGATATTCTGAGAAGCAGAAAATTTTATGTTGAAGATATATCTAACCTAAACAAAAATATTCCTGAATTACAAAAAAGATTTAAATATTATAACGAAAAGCTCACTGCAGGCAGGTGTAGTATCTGTCTTATTCATCCTTCTATTTTCCAGCACTTAGCAGAATACCTACCACTTACTGGGCAATCAGTAAGTATTTGTTGAACAGAATTAAAGCATAGCTTGGCAAAATGGGAGAGGTTGTAAAAATGCTAGAATTTTGAGGGGCTGGTAAAAGAAAGACTGTAAATGACAATTAATGCTACACTGAATTGCAGTTGAAAAATAGGCAGACAGACCTGCAACCAAATCCCTACTCAGCTACTCAGTTTCTGTTTTAGTTAAGCAAGCTCTATAATTCCCGTTCATATTCAATTTCCATGGTGTAAAGAGAATAGTAATAGAACCTATTTTAAAGTGTTTTAAGGATTAAATGAGATAAATAATATCAAACTATTTTAACATGATTATTCAAAAAAGAAGAAAAAAAGGAAAAAAAAATTGATTTGAAAAAAATCAAATGACCACTATCTGCTCACAGATATTTTCTTTCTTTAAGGACTTCAGCTACTCACTGATCCAGGAATATATCTGCACTTTTGTTCCTTTGATCGCCTTCTTAGGCCCTTTATCAGAGTTCCAGATCAAGTGCCTCAACGCCTGGAACTGATTGCCGCTCCTTTACACAGGAAGATGGTGCAGGGGAGTGGAAAGACCTTGGGATCATTTTCAAATCTGTCCTCTAATACTTAAGACCTTGGTGGCCTCGGGTGAATTACCTTAATATTTCTGAGCTCCTGCTTCCTCGTCTTTAAGTTATTGATAGTTCTCGACTCAGATGATACAAAAATTAGTGTGAGATGATCCAAACATTTATTAATTCCACAAATATATCTGAGTGTCTGTTATGTGCCAAATGTGTCTATATTTGGAGAAAGACAACCAATAACTAAATAAATATATTATTTTATATTTAAAGTTGAAGGCTAAGAAGTCAGTGTTCTAAGAATCAGGGGAAAAAAACACTTGTGGCCAAAAACAACAACAAATGCATAGTCCCCAATGCAAGAAATAATTTGTTAGGCTCTGCAGAGCCACTACACATGGACGGCTGGAGTGTAGGGTGTGGGAAAGGACATCCGTGATGAGACTGGAAGAAGAGATGCAGGCCGGATTTTGTAGAGTCATGTGCTGTGGTAAGGAGTTCTTATTTTTCTAATAGAAGGCACTGAAGAGTTTTAAGCAAGGAAGTGGTGTGATAACTTATGTGATGAACTTGGCATAGTGCCTGCCTCATAGTCGGAATCAATGAATGTGATATTAGCAAGGTCTTGCAGTAGTTTTTAAACATCTACTAAAGTCTGTTTCACAAACTGTCTTGCGTTGTGGGAATAGGAGAATGCATGCTGCCCGTGTGTTCATTTAACTGTAGTACTAATTCTTTAGCAGTATAATCTGCGATTTGTTTACTTGATGTCACCTCTAATTGTAGTATAGCAACTTAACCTATTTCAGCACTCATCAGTGGGGTTTCTACTCACAGTAGGGACAGTGCATACGTGCTGCACTGTGTTGGCTTTATTACTATTATTAATATTAGAACTGAATACCTGCAGTAATTCTCCATTTCCTACTTAAAAAATCCAAAGCCCCAATTTGGGCATTTATGATCTTTACAATGTGGTCCCAATTTACACATTTCTTCTTTTCTGTATGGGCCCTCTATTCCCACCAAGATAGATAATTCCATTCAAATTTCTTGTATTTTCTTTTTTTTTTTTTTTTTTTAAATTTCTTGTATTTTCTCACTTCTGAACATTTTCTCATACCATCCTAGTCTAACTGAAACTCACTCCTTCTCACCTAGGTCTTTCACAAGTCTCTTTCTCCTCAAGAATAAACTCACATAACATCTACCATGTGGTTTACTTGTATTTTTTTTTTCCTTTCTGACCTCTAAAAAATGCTGTGTTACTTAAGCAGTATTGACATTTTGTGAATACCTCACTATGCCTAGCACAGTGTAAGGACTCAGTAAGTACATGTTGCATGAATCAGGTGAAGAAATGGTTCTATATTTGTTCAAATTCATATTGAAATTTTAAAGGGAACCATTCCATTTCAACATAGTAATGATAATTAATATCATTATTGAAATATACTAAGCTTGTGCTTCTGACTTATCCCTCTCATTTTTCTGATTTGCCTGTTTTTCTACCCAGGAACTGCCAACATCGGCTATATTATATTGATAGCTAAATGATGAGCAGATATGCTGTTCCCAGGAGATAATCAGCATCTTCTGAAGATGTGTCTTGGCAATTCAGCTTAATGTCAGTGACAAAACATCACACCCACGTGTTTGTATAAATGCCATTATCTTTCTTCAAGTTCAAGCAAGAAACAGAGAAATCATCTCTGACACCTTTTTCTCTGATCTTATTGTGTGTGTTATTCACATATATGCATATATAAAATTCTGCTCTTTATTTTGTAATTTTACAAGGTCTTTTTCATTCTCACTCTTATTTCTTCAGTTTAGGCTTTTGTAACTAACCTATAAATTGTTGAATTTACCACTTGTCTGATACTTCTTACATATTTTTCTTCTAAACACTAAACAGTATTACTATACATCAATTTCACCAAAATATCACTTTTTTCATGTAAATGTTCAGCTGAAAGTCTTTATTTTTTATAACCTATAATTTAAACATTCTAACCTGGCATTGGGGATTCCTCACACCCTGACTTCAATGTGTTGTTTCTTTTTGTTTGTTTTTCGTCCTTTTTGTGACCGGTAAGGGGATTGCAACCCTTGCACCGGTCATCCCTATATAGGATCCGAACCCGCGGTGGGAGCGCTGCTGCACTCCCAGTGCCGCACTCTCCCGAGTGCGCCACGGGGCAGGCCCCACTGTGCTGTTTCAAAAGCAACTCCTTCCTGTCTCTGGCAGTACCCATAAAGCTGGTCTACTCTCTGTTTCCAAAATGAATCTTTTACCCAAGGCTTTTGTTTATGCTGTTTCACCACCTAAAATCTCTCCTACCCCCATAATTGTATCCTATACATATTTTTCTCCTCTTTACGATTTAGCTTCTATTTAATATCCTCCAAGAAGCCTTCCTTAACCACAGAAGAAAAGTTACTATAATTTTCTTGTCCTTGTATATAATTTTGATTTAAAAATCTTAAGAAATTCAATTTCTTGCTTAAATATATTTGGATACAAAAGCTTCTGTTAATGTTCAGTATTCAATCTAATTATCAGAGAAAGAAGATTTGTCACTACCAAGGAATTCAATAACATGGAATTAACCTGCCTTTGATTTACTATCTTTTCCCCTTTTCTTTTACTAATCCCTTATTCTCCATATGTCCCTCAAAAATATAAGCAAAGCAGATATGCATTCCCTAAGTTCTGTCCTAAGTCTTTTCTTTCTAGGTGTTCTTCCTAGTGATTCTCTGTCTTTGCTCCTGTGGCAAAATATTTTGAGGAACATTAAATCTAAAATAATCATGAGGATATTTAAACATGATTATTGTAACTCTAAATAATAAATTTTTTAAATTGAATATTAGTACTGATGTGCTCAGTCTTCATGTGGCTACTTTATGCTAAATATTTCACACACATGACTATAAGATGAATAATATTACCCTCATTTTTCAAGAAAACAAGGCTAACATATCTAAAAATTATTTTATGAATAGACATCCCTTGAATCTATTTATTTGGAGTACTTATTGAGTAGGTGCTTAGGAACTGTGCTGGGATCTGAAGATATAAAGATGATTAAAAGGCAATCAAGACGATGGATTTTTAAAAAGCAATCCAAAAGAAAAAGTATGCTTTCTGAAAGAAAAGCCTTCTGAGGGAAATGAGATTTTAAGCTGATCTTTGAGATATTGTTATGAATATGAAATATTAAAGAAGGGACTTGCATATGGGAGGGTAAACTGGAAGAAGCCCAGTGGGTTTTGAGGGCAAGAAAGGAAGAGTCGGGAGAGGCCTGAAGGTGCGAGATCATGTAGGACTTGCAGGGTTGGCGAAGGCATGTTTTTACTTATCCTGAGAGCAATGAGAAACACTTTAAGGGACTA